ACTCACGGTGTTGAGATTTTCTGTAAATGAATGAGTACAGCCTAACGGGCAACGTTAATCATACTTACCTGGCGTAGGGGATACCGTGATCAAGAAGGCGGTTCCCCCAGGGCGAGGCCTTTCCATCGCACTGCGGTTAGGTTGACCCCTGCGATTATCCCTAATGTGGATAACTCGGACGCGTAATTTTTGGTAGTGGGAACTGCGTACGCGCTGTTCCCCCATTATTCACTAGATGATATTATTAAGATATTGGATGGCATGATGTTATAAAATATATTTAAAAAATTTCATTAATTTTATAATTTAATCCCTGCGGAATCCAAAAAAATAGCATTGACCACAGAATAGTTTTACTCCTAGCGGAGAGCAAAGAGAATATAATCACTACGTTTAAGAGGCGGGACTTCCATAGTAAAAATAAATGCATGTAAGTACGCCAAGCTACTCTACCAACATCAAGATATGACATTTAGTTTTGACAAACAGTGTTGACAACATTGACGAATTACAATAGTTCTGTAAATGTCTATCCTCGAATAATTTTATCGATATAACCTTTATCGATATATTGTTTATCGATATGTTTACATAATAAATGTTAGATCTCTGTACTGAATTATTTATTTGAAATAAATTTTTTAACGTGGGGATTGAATAAAAATGCCGATAAGGATAAGAAATCAATGTATTTTACACACATAAATTTGTAATTATATCTACAATTAGTTATAAAAATATGTATAAAGAAAATATAAAATAAAAACGCACTAATATACTAGTAATTAATTAAGTAAAAAATAAACAACGACTCCGTAGCGCAGTGGCTAAGAGTTTGGCTGCGGCATTGCAGGACCGAGGCTTCGTTCCCGCACTGAACAATTGTCGCTATGATGTAAAATAAATAGCCTGCGTCTGGATGCTTGTTTTCAACATTTGTTCTTTTTAAGGGTAAAAATATTAGGTTTTTAACATTGATTGGATTAAATTGTTTTTATGTGTAAAAATACTATGTACAAATCGCTAGGCTTCTTCTTCACAGATGTACCTATGTACATAATATTTGCAGAGATCGTTTACTAATTGTCGCTTTCAAAATGAGTGCTATAGTATAGTATAGTATATAATCGAATTCTTACCAAAATGTCACTTTAGAGGGATATTATCTTTTGCTACATATAAATGAAACCTAATTAACATACACATAATTGTGGAAGTTTAAATTAAGTCCACTGATGAAATAACAGTTCATTTTAGTTGGGTTCAAATGCAATGTTTGTCACAAATATGTTTTAACATGTGAATCTTTTCAATTGGTGCATGTGCCAGCTATTTCACCCATTGCTTGCATCTGAAAAAATAGTATAAATAAAATCACATTTTTATTGAAAAAATAGATTGTTAGCAGTCACAATTGACTGTGTAGTTTCTAACTATAGTTCGTTTCGGATTGCCATACCATCGAACTATCAGATTTATGAAATAGTGTGTTTGTATTTGTGCACACAATCGTACACTATAAAAACCTGTCCTACGTAGATGGCTAGTCCAAAAATGTACTCGCGTTAAATATCATATTACTATTAAAGTTGATATCACCACATACCTTTCATCATCTAAGGGAAATATTGCTACAAATAGCCTTTTCTTGTTATCATTTTTTCCGCTTCTCGCACTATTTAATTGGAAAGTTTTATAATGTATATTTATTTTTTTAACAATTCTGTAAATGAACAAGGGCTCCTATAGCAAAATTAAAAGCAATCTTAATAAATAAAATATATACAATTATAATTGTTTGATTTGACATTTGCTACTTTTTGATTTGACAATGTCGTTAATAGACATATTACGAAAAGCAGAAAGAAGAGGTAACCGTCATTAAAATTTGACCCCTGTAGTACATAATATAATTTTTACTATGGAAGTTGCGCCCAGAATCGCTGCAATACATTGTGTAGGGATGCACAAAGACGCCATATTCATAAATCCGTCGAAAACGGCGACGCATCCAAAGTTTGGAAGTTTCTTCAGTCTCTTGGAGTTGGTAAAACATCCAATAATTCTCCTCATCATAATGTTGATGTTGAATTCCTTAACAAATACTTCACCTGTTCTAGCACATTAGATAGCTCAGATAAAGATCGGACTCTGAGTATTCTTTCTTCAATACCAACTCCTGATTTTCCACCGTTTAATTTCTCTCCTTTCACTGATAGTGATGTTAAAAAGAACATTTTGTCCATCTCGTCCAATGCCGTGGGTGATGACAATGTTAGTCGTAACATGATCTTACCTATCCTAGAATTTGTTACTCCTATCCTTACCCATATCTTGAATAAATCCATCTCCTCTTCAAAATTTCCTGATGTTTGGAAAAGTGCACTTGTAACGCCTCTCCCAAAAAAACCCCATGCTTTGCATTTTTCCGACTTTCGTCCTATCTCAATTCTCCCGTTTTTATCCAAACTCCTGGAGAAACTAGTTTTCTTTCAGTTAAATCTCTACCTAAATAGAAATTGTATCCTGGATCCTCTCCAATCTGGTTTCCGATCGGGTCATAGTACGACAACAGCGTTGGTTAAAGTTACTGATGACATTCGACGAGGTATGGATAACAAACAGCTCACTGTGTTAGTATTGCTTGATTTTAGCAATGCGTTTAACACTGTTGATTTTGACATCTTATTGAGTGTGTTACGTTCTATTAACATATCTCCTCCGGTGATTGGCTGGTTTCATAGTTATCTTTACGGCTGACGGCAGCGTGTTCGCATCGAAGATGAGTTCTCATCTTGGTGCGAATTACGGGCTGGAGTGCCTCAGGGTGGTGTGCTGTCTCCTTTACTTTTTGCTATATTCATTAATTCTATCTCTCAAAATATTACTTCTCTCTATCACATGTATGCAGACGATCTCCAAATCTACACTTAGTCAACTCTGTTAAATCTGCCTTCTGCTGTTGCCACCATCAACAATGACCTAGCGGCGATAAACCAGTGGAGTCAGCGTTATGGTCTAAAAATTAATCCGTTCAAGTCCCAGGCTATAGTTATTGGTGGTGGAGGGATGGTCTCCAGAGTTGACTGGAACAACCTACCCTCGGTGACACTAAATGACGTTGTCATACCCTACAGTAAATCTGTAAAAAATCTGGGAATATATCTAGATTCTACCTTGTCGTGGTCGCAGCAGTTAAAACAAGTGAGCAAAAAGGTGTTTGCTACTATGGGTTTACTTCGTCGTTTACGTTCTTTTCTCCCCATTCCCACTAAGATTATGTTAGCACAATCCTTTTTTTTTGACTGGCCTGTTGGTCTAGTGGTTAGTGACCCTGACTGCTACGCCGGAGGTCGTGGGTTCGATTCCCACCCAGGACAAATGTTTGTGTGATGAGCACGATCATTTGTTCTGTGTCTGGGTGTAATTTATCTATAATATGTATATATTTAGAAATATATAAGTATGTTTATCAGTTGTCTAGTACCCATAACACAAGCTCTGCTTAGCTTGGGACTAGATGGCGTTGTTTGATAGTTGTGGAATATTATTATTTATTATTTATTTATCCTTACTTCTCTCTATTCTCGATTATGCGGACGCAAGTTATCTCGATTTAACTAAAGACCAACTGAACAAACTTGAGCGAATTCAAAATATTGCTATTAGGTTCATATTTGGTTTGCGCAAATATGATCATGTATCCGAATATCGTTTACAGCTCAAGTGGTTACCCATTCGCTTTCGCCGGAATCTGCAAACTGTATCTCTTTTGTACTGTGCGTTGTTCAATCCTTTGACTCCAAGCTACTTGAAGGAAAACTTTAAGTTTCTTGGTCATGATCGACCTGATAGAGTTCTACGGTCAGCCGGCGAACTAATTCTAGAACCATGTTCATTTCGAACAAAATTTATGAAATATTCTTTTACGAGCCAAGCCATAAGGTTATGGAATGAACTTCCACTCCAAATTCAACGTGCTCAAACTTTGAAAAGATTCAAAAGTGACGTCAAGAAGCATTACCTAACACTTTGTGGTTATTGATAACCAATTCTAGCAATATTTATTATCTTTGTATATATATGTATGTGTATATATTTATATATATATATATATATATATATATATATATATATATATATATATACCTATTTATTAATATGTATGTTTATTTTATTATTATTTTTTATGTATTATTGTGGTATTTTAACAAAATATAGTTTAGTTTATTTAGATATTAGTATGTAAGTGTAACATAAAGCGCACCACCTCCTACTGTTCTTAATTCCAGTTTCTCTTTAGCCCAAAGGTTGTCTGGAAGAGATCGCTCTTTAGCGATAAGACCGCCTTATTGTACATACGTATATATTAAGTTTTCTCTGTAATGTATTTATTCGTTGTATATGTGTGGTGTACAATAAAGTATTTACTACTACTACTACTACATTTTACTTTAACTTGATTTTAGGTCTACACACCAAAGTATGTCATGATGTTCGTTTGTTGTCGATGACTTACTTAACTGTGGAAACTTTATTGTTAATTGTAAGATTAATATGTGTTATGTATTAAAATAAATTATGTATGTTGTCCTTGAAAATAACATAAATAAAATAAATAATTTTCATACATAATCTCCACGGTTAGTTTGGCGGTTTTTTAACTTGGGATACTATCGTCATCGACTATCTGCTGGCTAAAGCTGCTTTCAAAATCTATCAAAAATTTTAAATCATAGCAGTATGGCGGGTGTGGCGTACCAACATATTATGAGGTTTGTTAACATATTTATAAACATTTTGTAAATGTATTAAGAGCGTTGCATGTATTCTTTTTGGCTAAAGGTCTTATAGCCAATGCCACAATGAACTTAAAGCAAAAATCGCAAATGGCAACATAGACATTCATTGACAAATTGACAATTGACATTTGACATGTCAGTGGCTGAGCAGGGGCAAATTGTTGATATTTTTATTTTATTTTAGAATTTAAATTAATTATGCCTTATTGGTACTATGATAAGAAAGATTTGCAGAACACGCCGTCATTTCGCGATGGAATCAGCAACGAGACTGAAAATCGCTACCGTAAAGAAGGCGCAAGGTTTATTATTGACACGGGATCAAAGATGGACTTAGGTTATAACACAGTAGCAACGGGAGTTGTTTACTTCCATCGCTTTTATATGTTTCACTCATTCAAGACATTCCCAAGGTATATCACTGCATGCTGCTGTCTATTTTTGGCTGGCAAAGTAGAAGAAACTCCAAAAAAGTGTAAAGATATAATTAAAGTTGCCAAGCCGTTGCTCACAGACCAGAAATTTAGCACGTTTGGAGAGGATCCCAAAGAAGAGGTGATGACATTAGAAAGGATTTTGTTGCAGACAATAAAATTCGACTTGCAGGTTGAACATCCTTATGGATATCTATTGAAATATGCCAAGTGCCTAAAAGGAGACAGAGCCAAGTTACAGAAGATGGTACAGATGGCGTGGACGTTTGTGAATGACAGGTAAAGCACATAATACTAGCTCATATTGACTAGGTAGTGATAATAGCAGTGATTGTACTCCTGTGTTCTCTGAAGTTCGTCTGAAGTGTGTAGAGAGCCAGTGTAATTACAGGTTGAGGCATTCCAGTACATAAAGTATGTATCTTGTAGCATTCTTTCCATTCAGTCCACGGGCTGCAGTAACCACTTACCAATACATAAATAGATACTTCAGTTTTATAAGAAAACATTTCTAAGTGTTGTGGAACACTTCGTTGGAATAAAGTTCCTTTCATAGTATATTATTAATGATAAACATATTATATTATTGATTAATAAATACAAATAAATGAATTACTAGCGTTTATTAAATGAAGCGTCATTTAAAATAAAATAATATTTCTTTCATGGCAAGTTTATAAAAAGTGCAAGGGAGATAGATATTATTCCATCTCACTTCCTTATAGCCGCCAAGGCCGTCTACACTACGTCAGAAGAGGTCATGAGTTGTGACGGAAAAATCTTACGCTTTTTTTCGTCTAGCCCCCATTCTTCACTTCACACTTCATTTCAAAAAAAAATTTTTTTCAGTTAAAATCTGATATTTATGTTCATAAACCAGTTACATGTTATAAAGTATATTAAGAATTATAATTGCTTATCAATCATATCTACCGGTTTATTAATCATTTTTATTGATTTAGCAGAGTTTCTGTAGTGTGCTTTATTGTTAAATAGTTTTATGTATGTATTGAAGTTTATTGATAAGGTTCTAGTTATTTAACATGTCAGCCTAAAAAAGTGATTGTCTTTGTACATTACACTACACTTTTTATTAACATTTGTGAACTCTTTTTTTACATTATTTGATCATAAAACCTTAAAAAAATTAATTAGAGACTTATAGAATAGAATAATTTTTTATTCAATATTGATTATTACATAATACTTATTGAAAGTCATTTTTTATTTACCACTGTTTAGGAAAACACCCCAGTCCTGGGAAGAACCAGCAAGAAACCCAGCGGGACTTTCTTTTTTCAAACATATTTCACCTAACAATAACTTCGTTTATACAATTTTTAAATGATTTTTCATAGAACCAGCATGATGGCGATCACCTTATTCCCAGGGGTTATTTTCATTCATGTATTCCTTGATATTATAATAACCCTTTTTGTACAGTTTTTCTTTAATAAAACTTTTAGACTTGTTTATTGACAAACTTTGAATATGTTCTGGGATTTTGTTGTAAAAGCGTAGACATTGCTCCATAAATGAATTACTGATTCTGTGGAGTCTAGTAACTGGCATTACAAGCTTAAGTTTGTTCCTAGTGTTTAAAGTATGCACATCCTTATTCTTATTAAAGCTATTTATGTTTTTATGCACATACATTACATTCTCATAAATATAGTGCGATGCCAAAGTTAATATGTTTATTTCTTTAAATTTTTCTCTGAGGGACTCTTTACAATTTAGGTTATAAATCGCCCGTACGGCCCTCTTTTGCAAAACAAATATAGCTTCAATATCAGTCGCATTACCCCATAGCAAAATTCCATGAGACATTACGCTATGAAGGTAACTAAAATACACTAATATAGCTGTCTCAATATCTGTGAGACTTCTGATCTTTCTTACAGCATATGTTGCAGAACTAAGTTTGCTTGCTAATTTAGATATATGGGGCCCCATTGAAGTTTCACATCAATAGTAATACCAAGAAAAACAGTGGTATCCACAAGACTCAACTCCTCCCCATTTAACAGCACATTGGTATTTGAATGTTTTACATTAGGTATTGTAAATTTAATACACTTTGTCTTATTGCCGTTAAAGAGCATATTGTTGGCGTTAAACCAATGTATCAATTTCGATAGAGCATTATCTACATCGTCATAATTAATTAACTGTCGTTTGAGTTTGAAAATTAAAGAGGTATTGTCAGCAAATAATACTATATCGTGATTGTCCCCTACAAGATAAGGTAAATCATTAATATAGATTATAAACAGGAATGGGCCAAGAATCGAGCCCTGAGGAACGCCCATTGATACTACTGATCCGGAGGAACCTTTACTATTGATCACGACTTTTTGAGTTCTGTTACTTAAATATGAAGTAATGTCTAAGCGCTAAATTTTTTGCACTGTAATGTTGTAGTTTCCTGATTAATGTCTCATGATGAACACAATCGAAAGCCTTGGAAAGATCACAGATAATACCTAAGGCATCTTGTGAATTCTCCCAGGCATTAAAAATATATTTCATAAGCTCTAACACTGGCATCCGACGTCGAGCGACCCCTTGTAAAACCAAATTGGTTTTTATGAAGTAATTTATTAGTATTAAAAAAAATTAACAATTGATCCAAAATTATTTTTTCAAAAACTTTACTGAGAGTTGGTAGTACAGAAATAGGTCTAAAATTAGCGGGGTCCAATGTACTACCAGATTTAAATAAAGGTATTACTTTACTATACTTCATTAAATCAGGAAACACACCAGAATCTATAAAAGTATTAAAGATAATAGCAAGATGAGGTGCAATTAAATCTATTATGGACGCAATAACTGTAACGGAAATCCCCCATAAATCTGCGGTCTTCTTAACATCAATAGTTTTGAAGTATTTTACAACGTCTTGCAATAGTACTTTTTCAAATCTAAATTCTTTTAAACAGGTATTAACATTCTGTTTGAGTAATGACTGCGACAGTTGGAGAAGTATTCAATGACTCAGTTGTCAAGATAGGAATATCTGTGAAATATTTCTCAAACACCGCTGCGACTTCTTGATTTGATTTAGTTAATTCATTGTTAATTTTTAATTGATAGTTTGAGTTACGAGGTTTGTCTTTACCGGTTTCGTTGTTAATTATACTCCACGTCATTTTAATTTTATTCTTAGCCGTCTTAATTTTGTTGCTAAAATGTAACGATTTGGCTGTGGAGCAAACTCTTTTAAATATTTTAGGAATAATTTTTGACATATTCTTTAAAAGCATCGGAAAGATTATATGATCTTTCATGGTAAAGGTCATATAACCTTCGTCTGCTTTTATGAATTCCTACTGTCGCCCACTCATTAAATGCCTTGCGACTGTTTCTGGAAAATGTTTTAGAAGTAAATGTTTTTTTTTAAATTCATTGCTTATAAGGGTAAATATCTGCATTGTTCTTATAAGAAAGCGATGAAAGGTTTTTTACCATATTACTTCTAAATCTCTCCAGGCGTTTTGCATTAATAGGAACAAACACACTTTTCTCAATTACCTGTTTTTTGTGCATATAAGGTAATGAAACCAGTTGTCCACAGTGATCTGAACTAAGTTTTTGAATTATTGTTTTGTTGATTGGTACAAAACCTGCAAAAATATTATCAATACAAGTTGCACTACACCCTGCAATACGTGTAACTTCAAAGAATAAATTATTAAGATTATAGGATTTGAACAAAGAGCAAAATTTAATACTGATGGAAGAAGTTTCCAGGAGATTGATATTAAAGTCTCCACACACTCCAAGAGATTTATTCTGTTTGTTAAGCTTAACTAAAACTATTTTTGATTGTGGCTATGCTTTTAGTGTAATGTATAAAAATTAATATATGTTTGTTTGTATTTAATGAGCTGCCCATACCGTTCACCAGATTGCACTCAAACTTTTTCAACTTATTGCTTGCACTTGCGCGAAGGTTATAGGCATAGTATAATTAACTCACAGTAGGTGGCACGTTTTATTTGAAAGCTTTATATCATTCAATTTGATCATGATTGTGTTATCATTCCTAATTAAACAACATTACTCTTCTAAATTTAAAATGATATTACCATAATTATTTCTTCTGCGGCAGCAATGCGCCGGGACCAGCTAGTTTCCTATATTTAATTTATATATATATAATATATATATTTATAATTATACCTACTTATTATTTTTCCATCATAATATGTCAATATGCATGTAATACTGTGGTGGCTAACACTTGCCAGGACCACTGAAATGCTCAAATCCCCCCTGTGAGGCAATCTAGAGGGAGGCCATGTTCAGTAGTGAACTTTTATAGGCTGTAATGGTTGGATGGATTGATGGATTATATAACTTGTTATTGAACTAACTGTGGGTTGAATCCTTTTTGTATAGCTTCATTTATATTTAATATTTCTTCAATATTTAATAAATCTTAAAGCTCTGGCTTGGATGTTTTTGATCCAAGATCCAGGATATTGAAAGAGCAATAAAACAGCTTACACTTATGCACACTCTTTCCCATATCACATTGATTTTAAATTTGTTATTTGTTAATTTTAATGTGTTGTAGTTATGTATGTCATAAATATTGCAAAGCGTAGAGTTGATTTCTCCTGTAGTTAATATAAAAATGATGTGTCAACAATCTGGCACATAACTGTTATATATATATATATATATATATATATATATATATTATGTATTTTGATTGTTATCTGTTTTGTTGCTCATATAATAAATAAAACAAATATAAGTATACATATGTAACTATTATATCTATTTATTATTTTTTTTAACTATTTAGTTTCATGATTGGAATAATTAAGCACATGATTTTGATTTGCAGTCTGTGCACAACCCTATGCCTGCAGTGGGAGCCTGAAGTAATAGCTGTTGCGCTCATGTTTCTTGCTGGTAAGCTGAGCAAGTTTGAAGTTGTAGACTGGAACGGTCGCACACCCAAACATAATGCGTGGTGGGATATGTTTGTTGAGGATATCACTATGGATTTACTGGAGGACATTTGTCATCAGGTATGTTCTGCAACTTTTTTTTAATAGAATTAAGGTGACAAGTGAGCACACAGCCAATCTGATGGTAAGTAGAAGCTGTGGCCAATAATTTTAAATTTAATAATAGATTTCCTATTTGAATATCAGGTACAATTATTTTTTATAGAATAAGGGTGACAATGAGCAAATAGTCTACCTCATGGTAAGTGGGTGCATAGCCCTTAGCCATCTACATCTATCTTGGCTTAAAAATCAAAATGCAGATATGTTGTCACTTCTAAAGGCTGAGATAGAATGCCTTGTTTCCAGTAAAAATTGTTTCCGGTTTTCTACCCTCACTATATGAAGCACAGTAGCATTAAGCTGCTATTTTACGCTGGTATTCTGTAAGAGCGTGGTCCTTCCCTGGGTGAGCTAACCCATCCGTGCTATCAGGAAGATGCTGGTGCCTATAACCTGTTTTAATAAAACACCCGCAGGCCAATATGGTTTAGTGGATATTTTTACACTGCCACTACATGGCACACAGATATTACACATATATTGATGAATAATTACACATGTAGTAGTTATTTTTAATGGCACATTCTTACATATTCTTATTTGACATGATATACGTTCTCAGGTACTTGATCTGTATTCACCGCAAACACAACAATCTGGTGGTGATTCACCTTCGGAGACATCAACGTCTAAGCCGCCAAAAAACGAGAAGAAGCCGCCCTCCATTACACCGCCCGCTTCCGTATCACCTGTCGCCGCTGTCGCGACTAAGCCGGTGGTCACGCCCGTAAAGAATGGAGGGGAAACAAAAACAGAGCCTCTAAAAATGGAGCCTTTGAGATTCAGCTATCCAAGTTACCCGGGGATGCCGTATGCGCCTGTTTACAGCGCACCACCTCCTGGGGTCGTGCCGCATACAGTTGCGGCCCACGTTCCACCGCATAGTGTGCCTCCACTTAGCGTCCCCCCTCATAGTGTGCCTCCACACAGCGTCCCCCCTCATAGTGTCCCTCCACCACACACTGTGCCCCCGCATAGTGTACCTCCTCCCCATACCGTCCCTCCTCCTCACACTGTGCCCCCGCATAGTGTACCACCGCCCCATACCGTACCTCCACACAGTGTACCCCCTCCACATACCGTACCGCCAGTTGTACCATCGCTGACGTATCGAGAGCCTCCACCAAATCACACACGCTTTGGAACTCCAGTTAGTGTTCCACCTCCTAATTACTACCCCCCATTACCAGCCCGTGGACCATTACCCCCTCGACCTTTGCCACCGGGGCCGCCTCCCCCAAGGCCGTATTATCCACCTCCGTAACGGAGGGTGATAATAAGTTAGATTAATATTTTTTACAGAATAAAGTTAAATAGATTTGAACTTCTTGTTTTTTTTCTCGTAATATACCTTAATTGGGTAGTTGATACCATTCATTCATTCATTACAATTCATATAATTTGGATTTGTAAGATTTATTTATAACTAATAGCAGTACCCGTATGCGTTGCAGTGCCTTTTTACCCAATTGCCCCAAAACGAGGGTAACGTTTTTCGGGAGTATGTAGGTATGTACATATTCTAATTCTTTGGCACTCTGTATTCTAAATGGCTTGATAGTTTTTAATATATGGGGTGACTTAAGACATAAAACTACGTATTTCAGTTAATTACGCAGTCGGGTATTTTTAATTAAAATTTTCGCGGGCGCACGCACAACTCACTAGTATCGTCATTGTAATCGGATAATGGAGAAACGGTAAAGAAGTGATCAAAGAAGACAGATGGACAAAGAAACTAACAAACAAATATTCATTTTTATATTTTACATTTTACAAATTATTTCATTGTAAAATAGTACTTTGAATTTGAAAATTGGCCTGCTAAGTTTGGAGTTAGGAGTTAGAATGTTTAGTTAACTACAAGAAACTATGCTTTTTCTTCATTATTTTACTCGTAAAGCTTTTGTTTCTAAGATTTTGCCAAGATCACATCTGTCACATGAGTGATGGGGAGCAAAATACTAAAGCAAATATTTTTTTATGATACTATCTATCACTGTCATGTTACTATGCTTTGTTTTATCAGTAACTTAATAATTTTAGAAACTAGGAACCTTCTAAAATCTTAGTTATAACGCTGTTATTAGACATCAGTCAATAAATTAAAAAGAAATATATAAGGTTATTTTTCAAAGACTAGCCAAATTTTAAACTTAAGTTCAAATATATAAATAATGGTATACTGTTATTGCAGTTTTTGAAAATACGAGTCAATAAGGCTTCTGCTTTTATTTGAAACTATCCCAAATTGAATGTGATTTATGGGCAACAACGTTTTCGCCTACCGATCAACCCTTACGAATGTGTGCGTGCGCAGTAAAATCAGAATTTTTGAGTTCTTTTTTAATTAATTTCTCTTCACCATTTGCTTATCTTACTTATTCTGAAGGTTATTGCAAAATAACCCTGTATATAGTACATACGAGTCAAATTTAATTAATATTGATCTATAAATCAAGAAAAAAAAATTTGATCAAATGTTAATTTTATTTGATTCATAAAAATCTATTCGGTTTAACAAGGGGTCGCTCGACATCTGATGCTGGCGTTGATCAAATATATTTTAAATGCGTTGGAGAATTCACAGGATACTTGGTATATTTTGTGAACTATTTAAAGCCTTCGATTGTATTTACCATAAGGAATTAATCAAGAAACTATAGCAATATGGTGTAAGAAGTGATTGTCCTTAATTTATTATTTCATATTTAAGTAACAGATCTCAAAAAGTAGTTATCAACGGTAAGAGTTCTTCCGGGTTAATAGTAGAAATGGGCTTGTTTCAAGGCTCAGTTCTCGGCCCCTTACTGTTTCCTGTCTATATTAATGACTATGTAAGGTAAACATAGTAGGAGATAACATGATAATATCATGGTCATCATATCATGATGATATAGTATTATTTGCTGATGATACTTCATTAACTTTTAAAACTAAAACGACAATTACTAAAATATGACTAAATAATGGTATATCTAAATCAGTAAATTGGTTTACCGTTAACAATTTGCATTTTAATGACACTAAAACTAAATGTATGAACTTTATGACTCTAAATGTCAAACATCTACTTAAATAATAATGTATTTTTAAATGCGGAAAACTCACTCTAGAACGCGAAGCTTCAATGGGGCGATATATCTAAACTAATACGTTTAGATAGCAGACTTACGTTTTGCAGCGTAGGCTGTAAAAATATTAGAAATCTAGAAAACGCTAGTCGTTGAAATGGTTACGCCTTTTGTACACACACGTTTTTTTGTCGTGAAAAACTACGGCGACGGTCGTCAGTGTTGTATGGAGAACTGTGAAAGTGTGTTCACTGTTACGGCGACTAAACGGCTCGGCGCCAAGGCCGTATGAGCCGTGTGTTCTCCTCGGCTCGGCCGCTCGGCGCGACATCGTGTTTTAACACAGTGTTTTATCGCAGTCTGTGGGAGTTTGTCGACGGTACCGGACGTATTCGCGACGGCAATTATTTCATGACGGCCTACATACGCCGTGTGTGTTATAATGGAGATCCGCCATTGTCAACGTATGGGGTATTCTACAGCTGCAAGTTCAGGCTCTGGATTCAGTTATCCACAGCCCTCGCATATGATTTTGAACAGGCATGCAGTTCTGTCTTGCAGCCAATTTCTTTTTATTTGTTTATTTGTTAATTGATAAAGTATCAACAAACAAAAGTCGATGTTTTAATTATTAATAACTTATTTCTTACCTCAACCTACAGGCAATATTTCTGCGGGCGATATACAGTCTCACGTATTGATGTTATATTTTCTGCCATAATTTTTGTAACAATTTATCGAACGTCGTTTTCTACATTCTAAAATAAATTTAAAACTTACCTTCGTCTTCCCTCAGTTGATTCTTGATGTACGGTATCCACCAAATTCCTCCTTTTTTGTATACTCTCCAAAACCTTCTTTTCCTTTTCTTTTTTTTTTGTGTTTTCTATATACATAAAAAGCAATGATAACTATTTTATTATTCAAGCCGCGCGTGTGTAGCCCGGCGCAGAATAAAACACAACTGGACTGCACCTGGCCGTTGGTTCGTCCGATGGTTTGCCGTGTCATATACAAGCTCGCACGTTTTACGCGCCATACCGTAAACAAACCGTGTTGTGTACAGGAGGCCTTAGACTAATTTATTTTAGCTATTTTCTTAGCATAATTTATCTCGTATGGTATTTTGCTTTGGGGAAAAGCGACTAACACTGAAATTAATCTAAATTTAATAAGAGAAACCTATAGTTTAAAAAAGAGTTAGATACTACCAAACAAAAATTTAAGGAAATTAATATATTAACTTCGACCTCAACGCGTTTACAATAGTTTAAAATTAAGAATTTTGTACAACTGATTTCAATATAAATTATTAAGAATAATTCAAAAACAATTGGTCAGATTTTTATCAAATTTATATGGGACCACATGTGAAGCACCAGCTTTCAAATAAAAAAGAATCATCGAAATCGGTTCACCCAGAAAAAAGTTATGAGGTAACACATATAAAAAAAAACATACGGTCGAATTGGGTACCTCTTCGTTTTTGAAGTCGATAGAAAATGTTATGTATGCATATGAGAATATAAGTAGTTTTAAAAAATAAGTGATAATTATTATGTTAATACTAGGAACAGACAAGGTAATGCCAGTTACTGAACTATATGTCCACTACCAAGTTCCAAAAATGTATTATACAAAGAGGGTTTAAAAAGGATCAATGAAATATAATGGAATTTATGGAAGATAATAACCCCTCGAAATAAAGTGGTCGCTACTAAACTATTTCTAATATGATCTGCTAAGTTAATTGTGTACCTTAATACATGACTATAAACTTCTTTTTTGAAAAATATTATTCCGCTGGGTTTCTTGCTGGTTCTTCAAAAAACAGGTATTTTCTGAACCAGTAGTAAATTTAACATAAGAATGATTTTCAATAAGTATAATACTTAATAATCATTAATATAATCTACATTAAAAGTAAAACACAAATAAAACCCATTTTTAATAAAATCATTCACTTTTATTTATACATTTGCAACATTTGATACATCACAAACTCTGTTAAAAAATCGATCTAATGACTCGATACACAACACTCGATTGAGAAAACAACACATTGTATACAATATCTGCACAAATCTGAAGGACTCAGATGTGGGCGAATTTTACACAAAAACACAACGAAATAACATGCTACGAAATCATACAAAAGTACAAACAATTACAAAATGAGATATGCACTTATAAAAACAAAAACTAGAAAACATCCTTAATATAATTAGATCATGAAAATGAACTGATGACAGTGTTATAGTGATAGATTTTTATTTCAACAAATTAGTTTATTCAGTCCCTAACTGAAGTGTATATAAAAGGCATAAATTGAAATATTTTATTAAATACTATATTTGTATAAAACAGTAGAAATATGTCACAATATTTGTATAATTCATTAGTTCACGTTAATTGAATAAACTGTATACACCATAATAATAAACTGTATACATTATAAGAATAATCTGTATACATTATAATACATAAAGTTATTCTCTTTAGTAAATTTCTAATTTCTGTAGTTTATGGGATTACAGTAAACAAAATATTTTGTGCGAATTCTATTTTTATTGACATTCCTGATAAACAAACAAAATGTAATGAAATTTCGTATTTTTTGTTTTGCACTTTCACTTATGAAACCGAAGTATGAGAAAATTGATCATTTTATAAGAACAAATATTTGAAAATAAAAGTATTTAAGAAATAATTCATAAATACAGGATGTTCATGCATTGTGTGACTTACAAATAGCTAAAGTAACAAGAAGCTGCCGTTCGACTAGATAATAAAATACATCGGTAAAATTGCTGTGAACACATTGGATGCACCAAAATGCATTTTTGTAAAATTTATTAGGAAATAATTTCTCATAAGACTTAACAACAGTTTGTTTCGCGGATTAAATAGTTTTGCTGGTTCTGTCAACAAATGTTGATGTTACGTATAACGCTGAGTGCCATTTTATTCCGAGGTCAGAGTAATAAGTATAGTAACCTTAGCGGTCAGCCGCCGCAGTCTACTTCACCTGAAGATGCCTCGTGTAGAGGCGAAACACGTGTCCTATTATTTTCAGTAGTGTGTCTTTCCTAGTGTACTAGTGTTGGGAGTAGTGGTGACGGGGATCAAACTAGGCAAGACAAACAAATGTACTTTATAACGCGGATCTTGATGGCTCCGTGGCGCAGTA